ATACCCAGGACTCATAATCAGTATTTCCATGGAGGAGGCACTACATGAGGATGGCTTTATAAACTCCCAAGAGGATTCCAATGAGGGACCATGGTGAGCACAAGGGCAGAGGGCAGTGATGCTCAATCTGGAGCTCCCTGGCCTCAGCACTTATATCACCTGAAATCTTTGAGACATGTGAATATTCTCAGGCCTACTATCAATCTCTGACTCTCAGGATCTGGAAGGACATGCACACACACACACACACACACACACACACACACACACACACACACACACACACACTGTAAGGGAGCCTCTCAGAGACAGTACAAACACACTCAAACACTCAATCCTCAGCACAAAGAGATTTATTACCCCACAGGGCAAGCATGGCGTTGGGAGCCTGCCTCTGGATCAGGCAAAGGCAGACAGCAAGCAGCAGGCATTTTTCAGCACTAGGTTTTAAGTAGAAAAGGTTAAGTCTGTGCTAGGGTGCGTTGTTGAGATCTAATTGGACAGGTTAGCCAGTGTAGCCAAGTAATGAATTTTAATTGTTTGTCTTTGGTGTTTAGTTTCAAGAATGAGTCCCCAAAAAGGAATAAACTCTGGGGACTAAATTTAGGAATGTAATCTAATGGTTTATCAAGGGAGAGGGAAGTGAAAAGGGCAAAACCTGCCTCTGCCATGTTTGCAATGTTTGGGCCCCTTAGAGAGCACTTCACTCATATAAACCCACACATAGGATGTCAAAGAAATGCAGGTAGGGGGCATTGCCTCATAGTATAAGGAACAAGACCAGAGAGGAGCAGGGATGAACTCCAGGCCTTCCAGACACACAGATGCTCCCGAAGTCACAAGCAAAAGTAATTATCTAGTCAAATATAAACAATCAACTCAGAGCACTGAGCATCTCCTAAAAACCAATGCCTGTTAGTCTCTTGAAATGCATGTTGTGATCTTACACCCTACTGCCCCTCTCTGTAGATTGTGATTCAGGCCACAAGCTCTGATTTTCATTTGGAGGAATCAGAACAGCCTATGTCCTATCTCACTCCTTCAGTTCTGCCTCTCAGATGCACTAAGGACACAGTAGGGTGAAGACAGTCACCAGAGAACACGGCATGATGAATACCTGTTGTTCAACTCATTGTTGTTATAAAGGGCCAGGAATTCAAGCAGTTCATTCCTCTCATTGGTCATCATCTGTAGCTGAAGGGTCAGTTTATCCACCTGGTTCAACTGTTGCTCTTGCTCTGTGAGGAAGAAGGATGTGGATGATGCCTTCTTAGTAGTCCCTGTAGGTACATAAACACAAGTGAATGTGTACAGATGAATGGCATAGAGCCAAGAGAGATCATGTGGAGTCCCAAGAGGAGGCCTGAGGAAGAGGAAATGCATGGAACCCAGTGAAGCCCTCAAAGATCTGAGCAGCTATCCTTATGCTGGGGCCCATAAGCCATGTGTCTGTCTCCAATCTCTAAGGTTAGATATATGCCTCAGGCCCTACTGCAGCCTGTCTCTGAAAGGCATAAGCGAGGCCAGTCATGTTGGTTTGGAATTGTCAGCCAATACCTGATGTGATGCAAGAAAGTCCTGGACTGCCTGGTGCTTTGTACTTCCCAGCCCGATAACCTGTGTGCAGGACTAAAAGCAACTGAATGTCTCAGACCTGGGTACATGGATGGAAAGTTTCCCTCTGTAGCTAGAGTTTTCCTGCCTGGCCCACAGTCAGGACAAATCTCTCTCACCTGACAGTCCCACAGTCGCTCAGACCCAACCAAGTAAACACACAGAGACTTATATTGTTTACAAACTGTATGGCCGTGGCAGGCTTCTTGCTGTTTTTATATCTTAAATTAATCCATTTTTATAAATCTATACCTTGCCACGTGGCTCGTGGCTTACTGGCATCTTCACATGCTGCTTGTCATGGTGGTGGCTGGCAGTGTCTCTCTGACTCAGCCTTTCACTTCCCAGAATTCTCTTCTCTGCTTGTCCCGCCTATCCTTCCTGCCTGGCTACTGGCCAATTTACTGTTTTATTTACTAACCAATCAGAGCAACATATTTGATATAAAGAACATCCCACGGCATCCCTCCCTGGTATTTATATCAGATATCCATGAAACATACAGAAATCCACGAGGAATGAAGTGCAGCAACATCCTACCCTGATACCTCTGTGGTTCTGTGCTTCCTTTGGCATTCTTTGCCAATTAGAATGAACTGAAAAAGATGCTAACACAGCAGCTGCATCCTTGACCATTCCAGGCCCTCTGCCAACTAACCATCAGAAATCCTCCACTTTGAATCTGCTCTTTAGGGATCCAGAGAAGCAGCGTAGGTCCATGGCTTCAGATGATTTCAGCTACTGAACCCCATTAACAGAAGGTCCAATTCTGGCATAAATTCCTCCTTAGAAAACCAGGGCTTTCTCTGCCAATCAGTGTGCTCAGTCTTGCCACCATGTCAACTGGTGAACCCTGTAAGCACTTACTGAATGCCTCAAGGGCAGTTGGCATTGCCACAACACTGGTGTATTCACAGAAGATGCCAAGGGCTCTCTAGGATGCAATAGAATTTCCAGAGAAGGGACTTAGGGTCACTGCCAATGTCGTCCCCTATCTGATAGCAAACTCTTCCCCAATTCACCAAAAGACAAGCTGCGCTTTCCAGGAGCCTTCCCTGAGACTCAGTAGAAGGCCTTCAGTATGCCCTCCTTCCAACCCAGAGATCTCTCTGATTCATTAGAATCTAGTTCATTCTAATTCAATAGTTCATCATGTGTGGAGACCAAGACTCATTTTCCAAACTCTGCCCAGGAATGGCTCTTCTCATCCTGATGATTGCTAACTAATAACATGAGAAATAAAGGATGCTAAGAATTTAACTGAGGATAATGGTGAAGGAAGATCAGTTCCACAAAGTGAACAAGCATGTTAGAGAAGATCCATGGAGCAGTTACAGTGCATGGGGATGGTGGGGATTATGTGGGTTCTGTCAGAAAAATGGTAAGTCACATAGGTAATGATGAAACTTTTGCCAAAATCTTCAGCAGAATACATTCCATCCATCATGATGTTAGCAAAGGTGTCATCAACTACTGAAAGGTATGACTGAAAATACCTAAGGACTGGGCATCCACAGGTGAGCCCTCTGACACCAAGAACAAATACTTACAGGAAGAGTGATGTCCCAGTCTTGCACTCAAGGTAGAGGAAAGATGACTGGCTAGTGAGAGGCAGGAACTCTGAAACCTTAGGGATCACTGACACGAAGCAATACTTACTTGGTGGCTCCTGCCCTGCTAGTGGTTGTTATTTAAACTGTGAGAACCTCTAGCTCTGGCCAGGGGACTTTACTCTCCCTGTTATTAGTGACACACACCAAAAGAAATCCAGTGTGGGTGAAGTGCAGGGCTGGTACTGAAACCTCTTTAGTCCCTCTGTGCTTCCTTCTCACTCAGAGTGAAAGCAGAGGGCCCTCAACAGAACAGCTGCAGCCTTGACCATCCCTGGCTCTCTGCCAAACTAACCATGAAAATTCTCAACTGTGGGTCTGCTCTGGAAGAACTCAGAGGACCAGGATAGGCCCATTGATTCTCAGAAACTCTCACCTCCTTAGTCCCACTCCTGGAAGGATCAGCTGAAGCCTTCCTCCTTCAGGAAGCTCCCCATCACTTTCCCAGGACTCACTTTCCCCAGAACCATTTATTTCTTGATGTGTGACATGGAGACTGAAGGCCATCTTCCTTCTGCCTCCCTTTGGTCTCCCTGTGCTCGTCATCCTGTCTCCCAAGAATCCTGTTCAGTCTAGTCAGCATGTCTGTAGGTGAAACATGAGACACTGCACAAATGCCCCAATGACAGTTGGCGTTGCCACAACACTGGTGACATCACATGGAATGCCAGGGCTCTCCAGGATACAGTAGAATGTTCATGTCCTGATGTGACATGGTATAGCTATGTCATCCCTGCTATATGCCTCACCGAAAAGTGACTTGAAACCAAGGTGCCATTTTCAGGAGACTCTGGGTTCACAATGGAAGCCTTTAGGTAGATCCTCCTTCCAAAGCCAGAAATCTAGGCCTCTGCTTCATTAGAAACTTAATCTAGGTTGAAAGCTCACTTTACATGCATTGTCCTGGGTTGGATTTTCCCCTCCTTAAGATTCATAATCAATAATTTGAGAAAGAAAGGATGCTTAGAAATGAGGTCAAGGGAATGGGGAGTAGTAGGGATGAGACCTCTGAAGTGAACAATCACCCAGGGAAGATCCTCAGACTTTTAGAGATTGTTGGGCTCAAAAAAGTCACATATTTAGCTATGAAGATTCTCCTAGAGTGTCAGTAGAGTTCACTCAAGCTATGAGGTTGTTAGTGAAGATGTGACTATCTCTGGACAGGTCTGGTTGGCACCACTGAGACCAGGTGAGCTCTGAAAAAGCAAACAATTCATGAAATGAATATGATGACCCAAGCCTTGAAATCATTGACTGAGGAAAATGTAGTGGCAAGTCAGAGTTTAGTGTTGGCTATAGAGAGGCATCATGAGTGAGACAACACACACACATACACACACACACACACACACACACACACACACACACACACACACACACACACACAAACCAGGCATACAATCATGGAATAGAACATGATGTAGATCACTGCTGTGGTGCTTCAACCAGTAAACAAAAGCCAAACGCCTAGTTTTGGACCCACCTGTTCCAATCCACATGCTCTTGAAGAGGTGGCACTGCTAGCTTTGGGTACAAGATCCATTAAGAGGACATGAGAAGGCCAGGCAAGGGGAGGGACTCAAGAGTTGTTGCATCATACAGCTTTGTTATATCCAAACCTCACATTTCTTATCATGACATCACTATAAAGAGAAGCCAGGTCATGGTCAGCATGGAATGCATGTTCTCCAACCGAATCTCTGGACTTTGTCCACCAAAGCATTATCCTTGCAGCCTAGGACTGATGAAACTTTTGGGTGATCTGTGTCATTTCAGATTTTGAAGCTCCAAGCAAATAAATGTGATTGTCAACTTCATTTCTAAATAGAGTCCTGTGGAGACCAACAAGTTGAGGACATACTGGAATTTAGGAGCAAGGCATGTGCCCTAAACTGATACAAAAACTCTTTTAAGAACATAGATGACAGTATTGGGGGTAAAGAAATCAGAGGAGAGAGGTGGTATATAGAGAGGGGGGAGATACTCAGAGAGTGTGATTGCTCACATGAATCCAGAGATGAGGCAGTAGATCTAGATGGAAAAGTATAAAGGATTGCCTGCAAATCCCAGTAATTAGAAAGAGGCCTGGAGTCAGCTGTATAATTGAGACCTCAGACAGCTTGGTGTTTCTAACAATCAATTGTGAAACATCACACTTCCATGAACAGATATCCTGCCCAGGATATATAGTTATTCACCCAGCAAAGACAGAAATTCCTTCTGCATGGTCCTGCCACTTACCTCACTGATGTCCCATCCAGAGGAGTGTAGATGTAACCAACCATCTTATTAAATAAGAAACACAGAACCAATGCAAAGAAGAAAGCCAAGAGGTCAGAGCTAAGAGCTAAAAACCTTACCCTTCCTTTCGCAGTGGTCCTACCTCTCCGAAAGAGAGCTACTTCCTTTGTGTCTGTCTTTATAAAGACTTTCTGTTCTGCCTTCTCATTGGTTGTAAACCCAACCACATGACCACGTCATCACTGCCTGTCTGTACAGACCTCCAGGTCTTCTGTAGTTGGTATTGAGACTAAAGGCATGTGTCTCCAATGCTGGCTGTATCCTTGAATATACAGAGATCTACCTAGCTCTGTCTACCAAGTGCTGGGATTAAAGGCATGTCTTTCGCTATGGCTTGCTAATAGCTCTGACCCCCGGGCAACTTTATTTATTAACATACAAATCACATTTCAGTACAAATAAAATATCACTATAGAGGAGGGTTCATGGTCTTCCAAATGCCCTGAGATCAAGATGACAGGGGACAGCACTTGCCTTCCACAATGTTCATCTCAGCCCACTCTTGGTAGTTGGATCTTGTTCAGGAAATGAACTGAGGGATAAGACTTTGCCTAGCTGGTTCTCAAAGTTCAGGCTTGAGACTCCCCCTCTGTGAATGTCAACTTTCCTGTCTTCTACAGGGAGGGGAGTGTCTCAGGGGTCTGCTGGTTTCTTTTCCTTTTCACATACTTCAGGTTACCCAAGGGACAGCCTCCTCAACCTTACTCATAGCTGCACAAGACAAAGCCTGGCTTCAGACTCCGCAAATCTGGCCTCAGCAGCCATGGGAATGGTGGCACAGTTCAACATGACTTTTTTGAGACACAGGCTCTCCTGGAACTTGCACTGCAGTCAGTCTTCCATTCTCCTCCTCATTTCCCAATTCGTTGAGATCATGGCATGCATCATTATGCCCAGCTCCTTTTTTCTATTTCTAAATGTTCACACATCCAGAAAGATCCAAACTCTAAAATGATTGTGTTCCCAGACCTTTCCCACAGGGGATTCTTGACCTTTGGAAACCCAGGAGCCAGTGTTGTTTGAGTAGCTACTTCATTCCCAGCCTGAGGCCCAGATCTAAAAAAGCAGGCTGTGTGAGATGGAGTTTTCCATGGTGTGATGTCACTGGGGGAGTTCCCACACAGCAGAGCTGACTCAGGCTGCACTGTTAGGCTGGTGAAAGTGACTCAGAGCCTGACACTGGGTGCCTGATAATCCCACCATCCCCTGGTCCTTAGATGGCTCCTACCTCAGGGCCTTAATCTGATCTTTCCTACTAGTCTGTAAGTCCACTGCCCTTCAGTGCAGATGGGGAGGCCTAGTCACTCTGAGGCTGGAAAGTTGGGGGCCTAAGGCTAGTTTGGTCTCTACAGGGAGATGCTGTTTGGTTTGTTTTTGTTTTATTTATGTATAAAAAAGTTTTTTCCATTTTACATACCAGTTTCAGTTCCCCCTTACTCCATATTTCTAATGCCCCATCACTCCCTGTCCCACCTCCCGTCTGCTCTTCAGAGAGGGTCGGGCCTCCCTTGGGTAGTCACCAATGTCTGGCATACTAAATTGATGCAGAACTAAGCCCCTCCCCTCTGTGTCAATGCTGAGCAAGATATCCTACTATAGGACCTAGTTTGGTCCCATGCTTGTTCTAGTTTCTAGCTTGGGTAAGCTATATCTGTGGTTTTCCCCATCATGATCTTCACCTCACTTGCTCCTGTGGTTCCTCCCGCCACTCTTCAACTGAAATCTAGGAGCTCAGCCCAGTGCTTGGTTGTGGATCACTGCATCTGCTTCCATTAGTTTCTGGATGTAGGTTCTATTTTGACGATTATGGTAGTCACTAATGTAATCATAGGGAAAGTATGTTCAGGCCCCCTCTCCATTATTGCTTGAAGTCTTAGCTGTGGTCATCTTTGTGGATTACTGGGGATTTTCCTAGCACCATGTTTCTCCCTAACAACCTAATGGTTTCCTCTATCAAGGCATCTGTTTCATTACTCTTCTTCTTTATTCCTCCCTCCACTCTGCCATCTAAGTCCCTCCTGTTCCTATCCTCCTTCCCCTTACTTCTATCCCCTCCCAGTTTACCCAGGAGATCTTACCTATTTTCCCTTTCTGGGGCCCTCCATGTGTGTCCCTCTTAGGGTCCTCCTTTTTATGTAGCTTCTCTGGGGTTGTACATAGTAGCCAGGTTACCCTTTGCCTTGCATCTAATATCCATTTAAGAGTGAGCACATACCATGTATGTCTTCCTGGGTCTGGGTTACCTCCCTCAGGATCTAGTTCCATGCATTTGTCTACAGATTTCATGGTGTCACTATTTCTTTTTTACCACTGAGTAATATTCCATTGTGTAAAGGTACCACATTTTCTTTATCCATTTTTCAGTTGAGAGCCATCTAGGTTGTTTCTTGGTTCTGTCTATTATGAATAATGCTGCTATAATCATGGCTGAGCAAGTGACCTTGTGGTATGATTGAGCATCTTTTGGGTATATGCCCAATAGTGGTGTTACTGGATCTTAAGGCTGGTTGATTCCCAATTTTCTGAGATAATGCCATACTGATTCCATAGTGGCTGTACAAGTTTGCACTCCACCAAAAATAGAGGCATGTTCCCCTTGCTCCACATCCTCTGTCATTAATGGTTTTGATCTTATTCATTCTGACAGATGTAAGATGGTATCTCAGTGTCTTTGATTTGCATTTCCCTAATGGCTAAAGATTTTGAGCAATTCCTTAAATGTCTTTTGACCATTGTCTTCTGTTGTGACATTGACCAAATGTCTTCTGTTGTGAATTCTCTGTTTAGATATGTACCCCATTTTTTAAGTTGGATTATTTGGTATTTTGATGTCTAGTTTCTTGACATCTTTATATATTTTGGAGATCAGCCCTCTGTCAGATGTGGGTTTGGTAAATATATTTTCCCATTCTGTAGGCTGTCATTGTGTCTTGTTGACCCTGTCCTTTGCATTACAGAAGCTTCTCAGTTGCAGGAGGTCCCGTTTATTAGGTGTTGCTCTCAGTGTCTCTGCTACTTCTCTTCTATCAGGTTCAGTGTAACTGGATTTATGTTGAGGTCTTTGATCCATTTGGACTTGAGTTTTGTGCATGGGCATAGATAATGGATCAATTTGCATTCTTGCATGTGTCAACATACAGTTATGCCAGCACCATTTGTTGAAGACGCTTTCTTTTTTTTCATTGTATAATTTTAGCTTCTTTGTCAAAAATCAGGTGTTCATATGTCTTTGGATTAGTCTCAGGGTTTTTGATTTGATTCCATTGATCTATGTGTCTATTTTTATGCCAATACTAAGTTGTTTTATACAAATGGCCAACTTAGCTCTATAGTAGACCTTGAGGTCAGGGATGGTGATACCAGACATTCTTTCATTGTACAGGATTGTTTTGGCTATCCTGGTTTTTTTGGTTTTCCACATGAAGGTGAAATTTTTCTTTCAAATTCTGTGAAGACTTTAGTTGGGATTTTGATGGGGATTAAATTGAATCTGAAGATTGCCTTTGGTAAGATCGCCATTTTTACTATGTTAATTCTACCTATCCAAGAGCATATGAGAGCTTTCCATTTTCTGATATCTCCTTCAATTTCTTTTTTAAAAAACTTAATGTTCTTGTCAGACAGGTTGCCAAAAGGTATTTTATGTTGTTTGTGGCTATTGTAAAGGTGGATGTTTCTCTGATTTCATTCTCAGCCCATTCATCATTTGTACTGATTGTGTGTGTGTGTGTGTGTGTGTGTGTGTGTGTGTGTGTGTGTGTGTGTGTGTGTTAATCTTGTATCCTGCCACATTACTGAAGGTGTTTATCACCTGAAGGAGTTCCCTGGTAGAATTTTTGGGGTCACTTATGTATACTATCATATCATCTGCAAATAGTGAATGTTTGACTTATTCCTTTTATACCACCTTGATCTCCTTTTGTTATCTTATTGCTCTAGCTAGAACTTCAAGTACAATGTTGATGGATAAGGAGAGAGTGAGCAGCCTTGTTCTATTCCTGATTTTAGTAGAATCCCTTTGAGTTTCTCTTCATTTAGTTTGATGTTGGCTGTAGGCTTGCTGTATGTTGCCTTTATTATGTTTAGGTATGTTCCTTGTAGCCCTGATCACTCCAAGACTTTTATCATGAAGAGATGTTGAATTTTGTCACAGGCCTTTTCAGCAGTTAATGAGATGATCATGTGGGTTTTTTTCTTTTAGTTTATTTATGTGGTGGATTACATTTACAGACTTTCATATGTTGAACCACTGAAACAAAAGGATATAGAAAAGGTAGGACAAAGGGTAGATTATTGAATCTACTCTGAAAAGAAAAAAGAGAGAATCTAGATATGATAAGATAGAGAAGGGAACTACTAGTTTTAAATGTTTCACATTGGATTGGATTTTTGTATATTGCATATAAATTATATTGATACAAATCTGAGTTTGATTTTGTTAGAAAATACTGTACATATATTTCTCATCTTGTTCAATGTATCATTCCTATACAGTTCATTTCACAATGCAATGCAATTTTCTAGTCCTTGAAAGTTATTGCCAACTATTTAGGATAATAAAGAAATGCAGGTTAGTAGTTAGTCATTACAATGAAAACTGTAGTCATATTAGGTCTGTTCTCAAGGTCAAGTAGAAATATATTTTTGATAGACAGGTCATCTTAAAGCATTTCAGAGATCTGCAGAATATGGCATTTAAGATGATAACATAGATTTTTTTCTTTTTTTATGACTATGAGACATGTCTGCTTCTGGCAGCATCAATCTACTTCAAAGAAGATGATGGGCATTGAAGAAACTCTATATAGTGTTTACTTTCTTTGTGGCATAAGTTAGCCACTGGGCAAGGAAGTGACCTTACATCAACTGCTGACAGTATGCTGTCCAAATGGACAAGCAGGACACAAAAGAAAGGACTGCTGCACCTTTCAAAGACAAGGTAGGACAGCCCTTCAGAAAATCCTGCTTCCCAGATGAGTCTGTCAGATATGCTAGGCCTGTAGGCCAAAGATGGATGTCCCAATGGTGCAGAGAAAACCTGAGTGACTGTCCAGGCAACCAGCTGTTTCTGTAATTTCTTACATTTGTTGGAAGTTGCTTAGTTATACTTCCTGTTTACTCAGTTAATATTATTTCCTTCTTGGGTCTCTGAGGGAATTGAAGATTAGATAGTTATAGTTTTCCTTGTTAAAAAATTCAGAAAAGAAACTCACTAAGGAGGTGTAAAGTGTGTAAGCTTGAAAGACATCAATAGATAGTTTTCGGTTGGTAACACAAATTAGGATAGAAGGTGAATTAGACACAGTCCTTTGGATTCACAAAAATAGGATAGATAATGGAGTATTTTTTCTGATTTTGTCAAATGCAAATGGAGTAGACATTGTTGATGTACTTATTGCCTGTATATATTATATATAGTTATTGTATTTATTGCCTGTATATATTGTGTATATTTATTGAACTTATTGTATGAAGTTTTTCTTATATTAGTTATAACCCTTTTTACTTTAGACAGAAAAGGGAAAATGTGGTGATATTTTATTTGTGCTCTAACAAAGTTGCCTGAAAATCAGAAGGCGGAGCTAGCCATTAGTTAACTATAGAGGTCTGGAGGTCTGTACAGACAGAAAGGAAATGATAGAAAGGTGGATAGAGGGAGTGATAAGGTGGGGTGAGAGAGGTGCTTACTCTCTTTTGGTGGAGGATTTCATAGGGTTAAGAACTATTGGCTTCCTGCTCTGCCTCTCTGATTTTTCAGCTTTTGCCCCAATATCTGACTCTGGGTGATCACTTGCAGCTTTAGGTGACCATGTTCAGGACTGACTGTGAACATACCTATCTGTCCTGAACCAGACACCTGGAAGAGGCAGTCTGCTGGTGGAAGACACAGCCTTCTAAGCCTTTGTCTCAGTACAGAAAATAAAAAGGAAGCCAGACGTTGGCGATTTGTATTACTTATCAGTTCCCCTTTATCTGTCTGCCTCTCAGGGAAGACTGTGTAATTCCTTTTCCCTCAAATTAATGAGTTTATTGAGGTTAGTGCAGGCATATAGGTATGGGATTACTTATAGGAATATGAATAACTCTAATGTGTGGCATCACAATGTCTCATATTAGAATGGGTGACTCATGAAGACTAGAACTCTGAATGTTTCTGCATGACTTGTTTGCAGCTGAATGAGACAGAGAGTCTCATTTCTTCAGTTCTCTTTAGTTACCACCTATTTAACCTTGGGATTGGAAAGGCCTTCTTAATCCTGTAAGTTTCAGCTTTCCCAGCCATGGTTTAATTGCTGAGAATTATGAACCTCCTCTCTTTCCACAGAACTTTCTGAGACTTAAGGAAATAGTTCTACCCAGGGAAGAGCACACCAGTTGGATACTCAATATAGATGATCAGTCCTGAAAACATATACTAGCTATACAGAATGATTGGTTTACATTTAGGAATATATAACTATATGGATATACATACATATATATATATATATATATATATATATTTTCATGCACATATATATGTATATGAATGTAGCAACAATTAATGAAAATAGAAGTCATAAATAAGAAACAGAGCCAGGAGGAGTAAAGTGTGGGTTTGGAAGGATGAAAAAGAAGAGAAAATAATGTAATTATAATCTCAAAAATAATAGAAAAGTATTTCATGTCATAAAAAGGAAAATTGTTACACAACACTTGACCTGTTCCTTAAAATGTTAGTTGTTTCTACAAGTTCACATTCTCCCATGGAGCTCTGCAAAGGCACTAAAGGCAAACACCAGTCCTGAAGTCCCTGGTGAATCAACCATTTTATGTTTGACCTCTTCTGTAAGCACAGCCCAGTGCTCTATCATGCCCAGTGAATTGGCCACAAAGCACTGCTTCTCTCATATATATTTTATCGGGAAAACCCCATCCTTCGTCATCATCTTCCAGTGTGTGTGAGACCTCTGCTTGTGATAACCAAGCATCCCCAATGCTTCCCGTGAGCCAGTCCATCAGGAAATAATTTCTCTCAGATTTCATTAGATTACATAGCCTGTATTTCAAGGAGGTTTTTGTAAGTGGCTCACCTACTTTCCCACATCTATTGCACTCAGATTGATCTCGTCTGTTCACGTAGCCTACAATCCCATGAGCCAAGCTTTGACAGGAGGTTTCATTGATCTTTTGAAAGTCTTTTGTAATTCAAGCAGTTGGGAGACAGAATTCTCCCTGACTAAGACAGGCTCTTTTTGCAGGCCATTTTAAGGCTATCAAATGCAAGTTCTAGCATGGATTTTCCTTTTCTCTGTATAAAAGGTTGAAACTAAGTGGCATCTTCTATCACTTTTATTCCAAACAGAGAATTAAACTCTAATTGTATACAAGTGTACTGAATTTTGGCCTAAGGAATTTTAATGAATACAGCAGTTTCATATATGATCTTGATTTTTTTATCTTCCATAAAATTCCTGACTTTTGATTAACTCTATTTTCTGGCTTTGTGTACAACTTTCCATTTCTATTTAGAAAACTCTACAGATTTTACCTCTTGACAAGAATTTATTTAGTCAGAAAACCTTTTTTGTAAACTTCTTGTGAGAGAACTAATAAACACTGAATATTTCAACTCATTGAATTCATTGTATATAAATTACATTTGTCATCTAAAGAAACAAACTAAGATGATGTGTTTGCAAGTTATTAAAGTATGAAGTTTTTGGATGTAGGTTTTTGGCTTGTTTTAAGCACAACTTGCATTTTTTAACAAATGCTCTTTTACACAATATTTGTAGTATCACAGTGTCAGAGATCTAAGAAATGTCACATTTTAGCAAGTTCTGGGGAAGAGAGGAATCTTCCCCAGATTTGGGGTGGGAAAATATGGAGAATAAAACCTACGGAGAAACATTTTTATTTTTATGATGTAATTTGCATTTTAAGGCCCTGTAAAAACTCAGGGAGGCAAAAATGGATGAATAAGGGAAGATCAAGAAGAAGGAGAAATAAAAGAGGAAGAGAAGTTGTAGGAGAAGATGGATGGATGGGTGGATTGATGAATAGAGATAGGTGATGAAAAAGATAGATAGATAGATAGATAGATAGATAGATAGATAGATAGACAGGCAGACAGAGAGACAGACACACAGACAGAGAGACAGACACACAGACAGAGAGACAGACACACAGGCAGACAGTTAGGAGTATACACAGTTTTCAGGCTATACACTACAGTGGTTATTGGGTCCACCAAAGGCAGGGTGGACTCAGGACATTTTTCCTTCTTCCCCATATTGGTCAGAGAACTAGGTATGGTTGAAACACTCAGAATTTTTCTTTTAGCATCTATAGCCATGTAATTCTGGACAATTCTAGGACTTCTGGTTCCCAGAAATAGCCCTCAAATTTAGTTCCATTCCACTTGTCTCTCAGTGGTCCCACTTTTTCTTTGTGTTGATATGTGAGGTGAGGTGGGACAAATACTAGTCATCCAGGGGGCGCTGGCATTCTAGGCCCCCAAGAATCTTTCTAAATGAATTCTCCAGGGTTTGTATAGAACTCTAGAAAAGGAATAAGGAATCCTTGTTGCAGCAGATGATACAAAGAGGTTGAGACAAAACAGATTGAGTTCTAGCATGGTGATATGGATTGTTATAATAGAGAGAGGCAAGAGTTTCTGGTCCAGAAATATTAACAGGCTAGATACTCTGAAGATTACATTTAGATCACTTTTTTCTCAGAGCTGAGGACCAAGCCCAAGGTCTTGTGCTTGCTAGACAAGCACTCTACCACTGAGCTAAATCCCCAACCCTCAGTTTTTAAGGACATATTTTAGAGAATGGAGGATTTAAGACTACCAATGTCTGATGCCATGTCATAGGTTTTTCTAAAATGTGTTGGACTGATTATGTTTGCCTTTGGGGATGTTATTTTTATAAATACAGCAAACTTAGTAGGAGGTTTCCTAGCATTGAGCTCAGCAGCACAAGGACACCCCATTAACTAATTAGCCTGGAATCCTTTAAGTAAAGAGGAGATGTAGCAAGTTGATGAAATGAAATGTAGAAGTGAGATGGGTCACTCCAGAATGTTAATCAAGAAAAGTCAGAATAAGGAAAATTAAATATAGGAGGAAGTCTGACAATGTGTGGGAAAAGTCTTTATTTGTTAATGCTTAGGTGATTGTCATTGCACATAATTCTAGGAGTATAAAAATAGTACAATGGGGATCCTTCTTTGAGAAAACATGTCCACATTTGATATGATATTGTATATTAAGTTCAAGTCTCTGAAATCTTGTAAGAAAAAATGGAACATCATGGACCATATTTCTGGAAACAGAAATAGAGAAGAACTACTGAAGCAGATTTTGGTTGGAAATATGTTAAACATATATATGTACCCATAAATGTATATATACAAAATCACAAGAAACAAAATCAGTAAAACAATCCAGACAGGAGTTCAATGGGGTCTGAATATTGATAAATACAATTATCTTGATGCCTACACTATCCACTTAATTCTAAATTCAGGCTGTCAACAAGGACAATGCTGTTCTGATGAGGATGACATCAGGGCTCCCTTTCTACCCTTATTCATTGGGCTGTAGATGGCAGCATTCAGCATTGGAGTGAACACACTGTTTACATCACCAAACCTACTGTAATTCTCTATGTTAATGTGTAAGAGAAGAACTGAGGTAAACTGACAGTCATGTCCTAAATATCAGGCAGACCAGCTTTCAAGCACCAAATGCAAATCATGGTTATCTGAAATATCAAGAGTATGAATATAGCCTCCGTGCAGTTTCCAGTGGTCTTTTGTCACCTTTAGCTTCTGGCTCTGCATTTTAGAAGTTATGTAGACAGAAGAAATTACCTCAATAATTTTCACGTATAAAAAGCAAGTCAGATTCATGATACAGTACTGCCTTGATTCATTTAATTATAACTCACATGGGAATATTATCAGTCAAATAAGAACACTAACATTTTCTTCAGAATTCCTCCCAACACAATCATATTTCATATAAAACTTGATATCTCTGAAATGTTTGTAGCATATTACAACACTTGAAATAAAATAATATCTTCTGGGCAGGACAGGACTACTGCACTCATGAACTCCAATGTCAAGCCGACAACATTCTAGTATGGAAGAGAAAGGTGTTCACTGGCCCAAACCCCTAACTGAGAAGCTGGTGGCAGTGGGTGGCTTTTGGAGGAGGAAGAGTCAGTTTACTTTAGGGTGCTGATGCCAGGTAGTTTGAGCAAACTCAGCGATGGCTCTAACACACGAGCATATGGGCATGCAGTGTTGCCCTAGGTAGATGATTCAAAACAAAACAAAAGGCATGGATTTAGTAATGTTGGGATTAGCAGAGTGGATCAGGAACCATTTGAGAGGAATGAGGGGTAATATGATCAAAATACACTGTATGCGTAGATGAAATTCTCAAAGAATTTTAAAACTGTATTATTTAAAAGTTTGCAGTTCAATAGCATTAAAAATCTGATAGAAACTTTTATCTTTTGAAAAAAAGTGTGAGACAGTCACTGACACCACAATTCAGATTTTTGACATTGGACTAGAAGATTTTTTTTCTGCAGACCCAGATGGTCAGCCTGGCTCAGTTCATTCACTTATGCTTTTAACTATCTTCTTTTTACCTTCCTTAGGAAGAATTACATAATGCCTGTGATTATTATTGAGCATTTCTACAAGTGTTTATATCATGTTCAGTAAAAGGTAATCTTAAGTGGCATTTCTTTTTCTTCCTTTTGATGAATAAATATTTGACTGTGAAGTACCCTGGAACCTAACTGAAACATGAACAATTAGGAAGTCGTGTGACTCCGTTACTTAAGTTTTTTGTTTTTTGTTTTTTGTTTTTTTTTTTTGGTTTTTCGAGACAGGGTTTCTCTGTAGCTTTGCGCCTTTCCTGGGACTCACTTGGTAGCCCAGGCTGGCCTCGAACTCACAGAGATCCTCCTGGCTCTGCCTCCCGAGTGCTGGGATTAAAGGCGTGCGCCACCACCGCCCGGCTTTGTTTTTTTTTTTTAAGACAAGATTTACTTGTATAACTTTGGAGCCTATCCTGGAACTCACTCTGTAGACCAGGCTGGTGTTGAATCAGTAAATTAGTTTTAAGAAGAATTCATGAAAGAGGAGGGTTTATATGAGTGAGAATTGTTGAGACCAAGATTGGAAAAAGCACAGGGACAAATAGCCAAATGAATGGAAACACATGAACTATGAACCAATAGCTGAGGAGCCCCCAACTGGATCAGGCCCTCTGGATAAGTGAGACAGTTGATTAGCTTGATCTGTTTGGGAGGCATCCAGGCAGTGGGACCTGGACCTGTCCTCAGTGCATGAGCTGGCTGTTTGGAACCTGGGGCTTATGCAGGGGCACTTAGCTCAGCCTGGGAGGAGGAGACTGGACCTGCCTGAACTGAATCTACCAGGCTGAACTCAATCCCCAGGGGAGTCTTTGCCCTGGAGGAGATGGAAATGGGGGGGTAGGCTGAGGGGAAGGCAGGGGGGCAGGAGGGGGAGGACAAGGGAATCTGTGGCTGATATGTAAAATTAAATTAAATTGTAGCATGAATCTTAAAAGTTCTTATTAATAAAATCAAACCCGAGGCCAGTTATTGGGGTCAATGCTGGTAGATCAGAGAGACAGAACAAGCCACAGCTATCTCACCTTGCCGATGGATCCTCAGCTGGTCTTGCTTCTTCAGACTGGAGGCCTCCATGTCCTCATCCCAATGGCTCTCAGCTGAACTGTGCTTGAAACCTAAAAGCTTAACCAGCCAAATGCTTCTTGTTTCTGGTCCTCATGTCTTATAAACCTTTCTGCTTTCTACCACCACTCCCTGGGATTAAAGGCTGCTTTCTGAGATTAAAGGTGTGAGTCACCATGTCTGGCTGTTTCCAATGCAGCCTTGAAATCACAGAGATCCAGAGGGATTTCTGTCTCTGGAATGCTAGGATTAAAGGCGTGTGCTACCACTGCCTAACCTCTATGTTTAATATTGTGGCTTTTCTGTTCTCTGACCCCAGATAAGTTTATTAGGATACACAATATTTTGGGGAACACAATACCACCACATTAAATTATAAAATAAAATTAAAAAAATACATAAATAAAAAAGAAGAATTCATTACTGTTTCCTTATTCCCTGTGGGCTCTGTAATTATTTTGGATACCTTCTGTCTTAGTTAGGGTTTCTATTATTGTGAAGAGACACCATAACCACAGCAACTTTTATAAAGGAAAACCTTTAATTAGCCATGGCTTATAATTTCAGAGGTTTAGTTTATTGTCATCATGGCATGACATGGAGGCATGCAGGCAGACATGGTGCTGGAGAAAGAGCTGGGAGTGGAGAAGGAGCTATGGATCCTACAGGCAGCAAAAGTGCTCTGAAACACCAGGACATACAACCTCCAACAAGGCCACACTTACTCCAACAAAGCCACCCCTCCTAATAATGCCACTCCATATGAGCTGATGAGGGCCTGTTCCATTCAAATTACCATTCCGCCAAGGTATCCTTAGAAGGCAGAATAAAACTGTTAGTTTGTTGGCTCTAATAGATGTTTTTGAAGAGGAGAGGACTTTTATTTTAAAAAGGAGAGCATTTTCATTTGGTTGACAAACAGTTTTGGAAGAAAAATAGTAAATGCAGGAGGAAAAATACTTTTTCCTTCTACCCACATTTAGTCCCTTGTTGGGGACTCCATAACAAAGCAGAGACAGAGAGGAGAAAAGCATGGAGACTTACCTAGTACAAACTTTCACAACACCAGATCCTTCCTAAGGAAGGAAAGCCCTCAACAAGTGCTGAGACCTGAGATTTTATACTGGAGTTGATGGCAAGTGGAATGTTTTTGAGTGTGTGACAAAATAAAACCATTATGAGTCAAGCAGGTGAATGGCAAATAGTGAGGGCTTTTGGCTCGTGTCCCCTGTGTATACCTTTATCAGTCTTTAGCTATGAGGCTGCTCCTTTCTTTCATCCATGGAGGGACATGTGTTGCTTCTGACCTGTTCAGGAAATGGTCAGGAAGCCCTTTCTAGGTTTTCTGAGCAGTTTCAGGGTAAGAGCAGAGTCCTTCCTCACATTCATTCTTCTGCTCAAACGCTTCCTGTGACTAGTCACCATGTTTTGAGATAGCATATTCTGAGCAATCAAATATGAAATAAAGCCAAAGGTCTGGGTATAATTTCTGAATGAGTAGTTGCATTCATATATGTCCTGAAATGCAACATTTAGAGCAATTATGAATTTAAACATTAACATTAGTATATCCTGTTCTGTGCACTTCACTTTGCATTGTCTTTTCAGTAATTCTTGTTTAAAAAGGACCGAGAGATTAAAATGTGTAAGTTAATTCATCTAATTGGAATGTTTTTCATTAAGTCTTTGAGACTTTAGGATTTAGAAGGTTAACTTCTGAAGTACCTTGGAAATTTTATTTTGACACTTGTCATGTTATATTTAGATATGTATGAACACTACTATAACTGATTAAATGCTAGAACCTGGACTGTCCATAGGGCCATGCACAGCATTAGTAACCCATAGATTTACAACAGAAAAATGCACGAGAAACACAAGATAGATTCTCAGAGGCACAATGCCAAGAAGGAACATGCTGTTTCATTAACTCACCCTGGAATCTTGCTTGATGATTTTTAGTATTCAGTGGTGGTTTTCATTATGAACTCACTCACCTGCATGGCAGAGTAACTTCACTTTTGCCTTTTCCTGTCTATTACTCTGGGCAAGCAGTTTCTTCCAGCTAGACAGATAACAGTCCTTCCATCAAGAATCTTTCCCCCAGGGTGAGCTTTAATTAAGAGCATCCATTATTTGAAACAAATATCTGCACAAATCATTCACAGTGCACTTTGATATACATTGTTCTCTAAATTTCAGAACCATAAAAACCCCTCTAAGGCAAATCCTCAAGTTGATCATGAAAAGTACCAGGGAAGGGACACTGAGATGACAAGGTAGGTGAAAAGAGAGAATTTCCTCCTCCCAGTTTGTTCCTTTGTCTCCACATGAGCAGAATGACAGAATAGTATGGCATGTATTGTTTGTCATCTGTCTGTCTATCTATCTATCTATCTATCTATCTATCTATCTATCTATCTATCTATCTATCTATCATCTTCCCCTTCTCTCTAAATAAATACATTGTTTTTAAAGTACCCATCAGTAGATTTCCATATATTCATCACATGAATGTTTATTTTTAAAATGATTGAATAAACAAATACTGTTTAAAATCATGGGAAAATCACCTTTGCTAGGAGATAATAGTTTTTAACCATAGCCAAAAGAGAATCTGCCCCTTAACTTTGTGGATATGAAACTCTCAATCCTTCCCTCATAAAAGGTGTGAATTTCTACTTTGTTTTAAAGGATCTATCATTTAATTTTCTCAAGTCCACCTGTTAGTTTGGTAGAACCATTGGCTTTGTGCCATTGGTGGTTTGGATCCGCTGTGCCTGTGAGAAGAAGATAGCTCTGTGGTGTGAGGCTAGTGTTTGTACTCATGTCATAAAGATGTTGACAATTTAACTTAGATGGAAAATCACTCCAGGCTCAAAATTGTTGTAAATAGAGAGGGAGGAGGGAACTAATGTGAGAAAAGTGGCAAATTGTCATATCCCTTTCTCCTAGTTTGTTTGTCTTCTGTTTCTGGAGAAATAAAAGTGGTTTTGTCTTATTGGGTAAGATGGTTTCCCAATGCTTACACCAATCCTATTAATCTTGGTAGGCACACCTGCAAATCCAGAGCAAGGGAAGAAGTATCTTGAGTTGATGGAACCCTTACCTGTCCCCCATTACTCCATTTTCTCAGCACAAGAGATGATTATATACACACGCTCATTAGTCAATGCCAAGACATGCTAAGCATGTGTCAATTAATGGCATCAGCTAAAAGAGATGTTTTCATCACAGTGATTTAACTACTTAGTAAAGAAGTAGCATTCTCTCTTCATTATGCAATTTGTGTTTCCTATATCCTCATAGGTCTAAATTTGAAGTTTCCTATCTGGGATCATCCACGTGATGAGTACTGCAATGATGATTCTCTTTATTGGAAGGTAATGTACAGGATTTTAAAAAGTGGAGTAAATCATGGTTCTATGAAGGTTCAGATGGCCAAGGACCCATTTTCTATAACAGACCAAAACAATAGGTAGACAAGGAGAAACTCTTCAAATGCTGTTCTTTGGCAACTTGTGCTGTTTTACCTGTTGGGGAGCATCGGTAGGGACAGTGACTAGGCAAGGACAATGACAAGTGGTTTCTTCTAGTGTTATATTTCTCCTGAGGCCCAATGGATCAGGAATTTTATGGGATTTATCACACACATGTGCCCATTCCCAGTGTTACTGATTTCATCCTGGGCTATAAGACTCTTGTTCTAGGAGACATGATCATGCATTTGAACTCTTATGATACCCAGAGCTTTATGGTCCCCTTCTCTGGCTGCTCATAGACTTCTTTTTTTTTAGTTTTACCTCTGTTTTGTGTTCATTTCATTTCTGATGGCTGCCACCTTCTTCTGCCTTTGCTGTTCTTGAAGGATTCAAGGATTTCTGCAGCTGAGACCCTCTCTCAACCCTGTTACTGCCATTGGGAATAATACTCAGAATGCTATCCTCAGTCATTTTATTATTGGTATCTGCTTGGGACATTCAGTACACCAGGAACAAAGTAGACCTCTTGGAAGTATTTCATATATGGGGAACTGAGTGCTTGTTTTCCAAACACTGCACAGGAATGTCTCATTCCTTCATTAAAACCCCCCTTTTCATCATATTGAGAAATAAAATACTACTGGGAAATGACATCATTTGAATGAGAAGGAGGGAAGATCACCTGCCTCAAATACAGGAGCATGGAAACACACCCGGGAAGATCCTGCAGGGCTGGTTACAATGTTGGAATTGGGTTGGGGGTACACTCAGAGAAGCCACATGCCTAGCTGTTGAGAACTTCCTCAGAGGTGCCTCAGCAGATAGACAATATACCTGTGAGGATGCTGTAATGAATTGCTGGCAGAGGTAACTTGAACAGTGCAACCCCCATGAGAAATATCCCTCAGGTTGAGTGTGGTGCCCTCCATTCCGCACTTAAGATACCAAAATGAGATAGATTGCATGCCTCTGTGAGATACACATTGAGATTAACTGTTGAAAAAAGAAAAGGCAGCTAGGCGGTGGTGGTGCATGCCATTAATCCCAGCATGTGGGAGGCAGAGGCAGGTGGATTTCGGTGAGTTCAAGGTTAGCTTGGTCTACACCAAGTTCCAGAACAGTCATAGATGTGACACAGAGAAACTCTGTCTCAAAAAATCAAAAAAGAAAAAGGAAAAGAAAAGAAAAGGCAAAGGGGGAAAAGACAATAGCTATGGCTCATTTGGCAGAATGATTCCTACCATGTAGGAAGCTCGGGGTTCAATCACCACCCACACTCTGCAAGTTCCCACTTCTTTAGTCCACACAGGAGGGACTGGAGAGTCCAGAGTTTGTTCAGCCAGGATATTTCTTCTAATCATAGAGCAGTTTCTATGCCTAGAGAGGTGAGGAAGTTTGGGTACATCCTCTGGTACACTGTGATTTTCATTAATTACTTGATGTCTCACAAAGGCAAGTTTATATTTTTGTTGAGTTCCTGTCTCTGTCAATGAACAAAAAAGGATGTGGGGCTTTTCATTTCACCAGCATACTGACAGTCTAGAGTTCCAGCCCAAGCTTTTGCTCCTCATTTGTTTTTGAATTCACTTTCTAAGTGTTTAAGGCTCTGTCATTTCAGTATTAGAGGAAGTTGAGGTTCCCAGCAGCAGCCATGCTCACAGAGTCCACACAGAAGTGTCTCTGTGAGAAACATGACCTCCTCCTGAACATCACTACTTCTGGGGTATACTGAACAGACTTCCTGATAGTGCTGAACACAATCAAAGCAGAAGAATATAAAATATACTTCTATTTCACCTGGCAAGATAGAAAACCAAGTCTGAACTTAGGTTAATGCACAGGAATCTCTGGGATACTTGTGGAAATGAGGGGTTACTTCCCTGTCACTCCGAATTGGGAACTGGAATCCATATAACAGTTCATATGAAAATAGAAGGATTAACTATGTTAAGTCCATAGTACTGAAATTTTTTCCTGTGAATATATTCTTTCTCTCCATCTATTAAAAACACATCAAAAATCATGCCATATATGATGGTTCATGCCTTAAATTCCAGGACTCAGAGATGTAGCAGGAATCTTAAAGAGTCTTATTAATAAAATCAAACCTGAACCAGATACTGGGGTGAACACTTGTCAGGGACCAAACATGAACCATGGAAAAGTGCTAGCTAGGCCAGAGAACAGGCCCTAAACCAGGTGCCCCCAAAGATAAAGAACATCCCACAGTCAGGTAGCATAGCAACAGAACAATGGACCCTGACCAGTGACCTTATCACCTAGCACAACATCCTGCAGCCTCACGACCTGCACGTCCCCCTTCACCTGCACGTCTCCCCTCAGCTGCACGTCCGGCTCATCCTGCACATCTTGCACCCCTTCCCTCCTCCCTGCCCCCTCCCCCTCCCATGCTATATAAGCCTTGCTGAGGAAAATAAAATTTGCAGCTTGATCAGAACCCTGTCTTGCTGTCTTCCTTTGTGTCTCCCATCCCTTTCATTCTCTCCCACAGGTGGGTCACCCCCATTGAGACCCCGCTGGCCGGGGCAACTGGCGCCCGACGTGGTGGCTCGACCCTTGCCTCGTTGGGAGTTGAACATCATTCTCCAGGAAAGTCCAGACGTCTGGTGGAGATATACTTGCTGATCATCCGTTGAGACCGCCCGACTTGACACCCTTTCTTGACGATCTGGAGTAGAGCAAGAAGGATGAAGTTAGTCTAAACTTCAGACTTAACCATGGGACAGGGAAGTTCTTCCCATGATCTTTTCATTAAGGGCATTAAAGAGGCCCTCAAGACACGAGGGATAAGGGTTCATAAAAAAAGACCTTGACAAATTCTTTAGTCACTTAGAGGACTGTTGTCCCTGGTTTCCCCAAGAAGGGACGATTGATGAAAAACGTTGGAAAAGGGTGGGTGACTGCCTTACTAACTACTACCACGTCTTGGCCCAGACAAGGTCCCTGTTATAACCTTTTCCTATTGGAACCTTGTTAATGATATCTTCAGGATCCAAAGGAACCCTCCCTCCCCTGACATCAAGTCGGTTATTTCTCAGGGACAAAAAGTCATGAAAGAAAAATCTCGTCCCCCCTCTTGCACTGATTCACATCCCCCCTTCCCCCGTGCATCCTCTCCACTCCCCCCGACCCCTTTCACGAGCGCCCTCTATACAGGAGATTAAAAATATGGAAGAAGGAGCCCAATCACCCCCACCTCAGTCTATCTACCCCTCCCTCCAGGATCTAGACCCACCCCCCCTTAACCCTGGCAATAAGGCCGGTCAAAAAAAAGAGGCCGCCAAATATCATAATTCTGATTGGCCACCTCATGCGTCCTTGGCCCCCATAACCCCCCTCTCACAAAAGCCACTCCCAACAAAGACACCATACAATCTTACTCAGCCCCCTCCTTATGATGCCACTCCCATTGCCCCCTTTTGTGCCCCAGTCATTGAGGCCCCTGTGGGTTCCCGTGGGCACTCCCAATGCTGACCCCTGATGATCCAGAAATCCCCCTAATCTCGTAACAGAATTACAGCGCCTACAGGGCACACTTCGGGCTTGCAGACAGCACCTAGCCCTTATAAAGGAACTATGCTCTCTTGATCAGGAGCTCTCTGATCTCGCCCTGGGTGCCCCCAAAACTTGGCCACTACCAACCACCTCATGTCCTAGATGTGGCCATGGCCTTCATTGGGCAAGGGAATGCAAATCTAAAACCGACGCCCATGGTCGCCCACTCCCTGCCTGTCAGGAAACTTTCTTCGGTGCCAGCCTCTGGCTCCTCAGCTCCGGGGAGCATCCCATGGGGCCTTGCAGGCTGCTCCCCAACTGTCTGCTCCCTCCAATGGGCAACCCCTGGTAGCGCAGGCTTGGACCACTGTGCTGCCACCGACACAATACTAGACCCGTCCCAGGGCTCCCAAGTCATCTCTACCGGGATTTGGGCCCTCCTACCCCCAGACACCCATGGCCTTATCCTTGGCCATGCCTCATCCACCTTAAGAGGTGTCCAGGTCTACCCCATAATTATTGATAATGACTATACAGGAAAAATTAAGATTTTGGCATCAGCACTCCAGGGTCTTGTTGCTGTCCCCAGCGGCACCCACCTTGCCCAGCTGGTTACCCTTCCCGTGCTTTCCTCTGAGAACCCCATTCAGTCTGCCCAGCCCTGAGGAGCTTCTCAGACTGGCTTATCAGAGGCTTATTGAATTCAGCCTATTTCCCACTCTTGACCCACACTTACCTTTAAACTAGATGGCAAAAAATTCAGGGGATTCTGGATACTGACGCTGATGCCACTGTGATCTCCCAAGACCACTGGCCCGCCTCCTGGCCCCTCACCCCCTCCCTCACCGACCTCAAGGGCATAGGTCAATCCAACAACACCCTCCAATCCTCTAAAGTTCTAACCTGGTCAGATGAGGAGGGTAACCAGGGTACTGTCACCCCCTTTGAGGTCCCTGGGCTCCCTGTCAACCCTTGGGGCCGAGATATTCTCTCCCAAATGAAAGTTATCCTCTGTAGCCCAAATGAGGTAGTTATCCAACAAATGTTATGCATGGGCTTCATCCCAGGAAAGGGTCTTGGTAAACTTCAACAGGGCCGAACCCAACCCGTCGCTCCCGCTAATAAGACAGACAGGCTCGGTCTTGGCTTTGAGGGTTTTTAATTGAGGCCACTGCTCCCCCTGTACACCATGCAGACAAAATCACTTGGCTTACCCATGTGGTAGATCAGTGGCCTCTGCCACAAGAGAAACTACAGGCAGCTGAGATGTTAGTACAGGAACAGCTCGCCACCGGTCATATTGAACCATCCAATTCCTCCTGGAATATGCCCATCTTTGTCATAAAGAAAAAATCTGGGAAATGGAGACTCCTCCAAGACCTGCGAGCCATTAATAAGGTTATGCAGCCCATGGGCGCCCTCCAACCAGGCATGCCCTTACCCATCGCCATCCCTGAGGCCTATCACAAAATGGTTATCGATTTAAAAGATTGCTTCTTTACCATCCCCCTACACCCTGATGATTGAGCTTATTTTGCCTTTAGCCTCCCTTGGGTTAATTTTCAGGGCCCCATGCTCTGCTTTCATTGGCACGTCTTACCCCAGGGAATGGCAAATAGCCCGACTCTCTGCCAAAAGTTCATGTCTCAGGCGGTCGACCCCATACACCAAAAATGGCCCTCTACTTATATCTTACATTACATGAATGACCTTCTTTTGGCCGCCCCTAGCTCCTCCATCCTAGAAGCAACCTTCCAAGATCTGTCACAGGCCCTTTATGCTGCTGGACTACAGCTCGCCCCTGATAAGATCCAGCACTCTGCATCCTTTAGTTTTCTGGGCCTTGAATTGCATTCCAATCGAGTTTTGGTCCCACGCATCCAGCTGTGCACAGATAACCTTATCACCCTTAATGATTTTCAAAAATTTCTCGGGGGCATTAAGTCACTTCGACCATACTTAAAACTCCCTACTGCTGATCTTCTACCCCTCTATGACATTCTTTGGGACCCCAGTGAACCCACCTCCCCCCCGTCAATTGACCCCGGCTGCCCATAAGGCCCTGTCACTAATCACCAGGGCCATTTCCTCCCAAGCCTCTTTTCAGATTGATTATTCCCTCCCGCTGGTTTTTGATGTCTTATCTACTCCCCATGTGCCCACCGGGGTCCTTTGGCAGAGCTCCCCTTCCACACTAAGGGCCCAGGATAAACTTAAGGGTCATTCCCTCTTATGGATTCATATGCCTGCCAGTCATACTAAGGTCATTCCCACCTGTCCCCAACTTGTCTCTTCTGTAATCATGCGCAGTCGCCAGACCTCTCAACAGATCTTTGGTAAGGACCCAATTACATCTTAACCACCTACACCCATGAATAAACTCAATTTTTGTTTCAGACACTGGATTGTTGGGGTGTTGCCTTCTCGGGGTTCCTGGGCCTTCTTGACAATCACCTCCCCAATGACCCAGTTCTTCATTTTGCATCCACTCATACCTTTATCTTCCCAAAAGTCATTTCCCCCAGCCCCTTGCCTGAGGCCTGACCGTCTTTACCGATGGGTCAGCCAGTGGCACTGCAGCTTATGCTTTTCAAGATCACTCGTTTCCCTTTCCTTCGCCCTTTCGTTCAGCTCAGCTGGTTGACCTCTTTGCTGTTCTGCAGGTTTTTCAGGATTTCCACAATTCCCCCCTTAACATTTACACTGATAGTGCGTACATCGCTCATTCCATTCCCCTTCTTGATACAACCCCCTTCATTAAGCCCACCTCCAATGCCACTCCCCTTTTCGCTCAAATTCAACAAAAACTTAGAGAACACTCCCATCCTGTTTTCATTGGCCACATTCATGCTCATGGGGAGCTTCCTGGCCCCCTCACAGAGGAAAACACCCTGGCTGATACAGCCACTCGACAGGTTTTTCCAGTCCTACAAGAGCCCATCCTGTCAGCTTCTCGCGCCCACTGCCTCCACCATCTTAATGCCAAAACCCTTCTGTTAAAGTTCAAAATCACAAAACAGCAAGCTAGAGAGATAGTTAAACAATGCCCTTCTTGTATAGTCTCCCATCCCGGCCCCCATGTTGAAGTTAACCCCCATGGACTCCTGCCTAATATGATTTGGCAAATGGATGTCACACATGTTCCTGATAGACAAAAATATCTTCATGTTTCTGTTGTCACATTCAGCAGATTTATTTTTGCCTCCCCTCATACTGGTGAGGCCGTCAAGGACGTTATCGCTCACCTCCTGGGCTGCTTCTCTACCTTGGGTATCCCAAAACACATAAAAACAGACAATGGCCTAGCATACATCAGTGGAGGACTTAAATGGTGCCTCCAACAATTTGAAATCTCTCACACTACTGGTATCCCTTACAACCCTCAAGGTCAGGGCATTGTAGAATGAGCCCACCAGACCTTAAAAACATGGCTCTCTCGATTAAAGATGTCTGAGCTTTCCTTTGTCTCCCTGCCGAGACCGCCTGAGCCATGCCCTCTTTGTTCTTAACTTTCTCACCCTGGATGGTGAAGGTCAACCAGCGGCTGACTGCCATTGGCACCCCTCAGCAGATGCCAGCTGCCCTTTGGCCATGTGGCAAGACCCCCTTACAGGCGTTTGGAATGGTCCAGATCCTGTACTTATCTGCGGCCATGGCTCCGCTTGCATCCTTGACCAGGCACATGACGCCCCACGCTGGCTCCCTGAGCACCTGGTCCTATCTGTAAATTTACCTAACATACCCAGGGGATTGACTGGCCCCCCTGAGGACCCTCCTTCTTCTCTTCCAGATGCTAAAGGTACCATCAAAGACCAAGACCCCAAAGAGATGGAAACCACCCACGAAGCTGCCCATTGTGAGTCAGCTGGCTGTCTGGGGTCTCATACTCCTCCTTCCAAGCCATAGCCTCTCTAGCCTACCCTAAAACACCAATCGCCACCAGCCCTTAAACCACATCTGGCAGGTGCTGACAGGGTGACAAGATGTCATCTGGCAAACTTCCCTAGTCACCCATGCCCCCTGGTGGCCTGACCTTTATCCCGACTTTTGTAAAATGGCCGCCTTAACATCCCCTGATTGGCATGTTGATGATCAACACCCTACCAGAAGGGCTCCTGAGCTTTTTTATTCTTCTCACAACCCCAGGTCTGGACCCCTGGGTGTACAAATCAGGGCCAGAAAAAAAACTCAACACCCTCCATTTTTATGTCTCTCCTGGTCATCATCGGCCTTGCAATCTTCTCCACAAATGTGGGGGAGCTGGAGATCTTTTTTGCAAGTCCTGGGGATGTGAAACTACCGGCAATGCCTATTGGCATCCCTCTTCTTCTTGGGATTTTATTACTGTTACCAGCAATTATTCCATTGGGCATGTTAATACTCATCATGGCACCCCTGATTGTTCCTCCTGGTGCCACCCCCTAAAAGTTACCTTCACCGAGGCTGGGAAACTCATTCAGCTTGGGAGGTGGGCCTCACTTGGGGCCTTCACCTATTTCAGGAGGGAAGAGAAACAGGCGTCACCTTTATCATCAAGCTTTTAAAACAGCCTGTCAATTTCCCTAACCCTGTTGCCATCGGTCCCAACTCTCTTCTCAGCAACAGTGATTTTCCTACAACCAATATATCTCAGACATCCATGGGTTTTTATCCCATGTTCTCACCTCCCCCACCAACTACCAAAGATATAATTACCACCCTTATCACAAAAACCTACCAGGTACTTAATACCTCCAAGCCTGATTTGATTGACTCCTGCTGGCTTTGCTATCATTCTGCCCCCAAATTTTATGAAGGAGTGGCTGTTGATGTAGATTTCTCCCTAACCACTGACCCACACAATTGTCACTGGCAACAGCCACCCACATCTCGCCTTACACTTTCCCAAGTTATGGGCTCAGGCTGCTGCCTTGTCACCCAAGGCACTACCATTCCCCCTGTTTATCAACCCCTTTGTAATATCACAGATAACCTAAATACCTCCCTTAAGTCTGGATATCTTCTCCCTGCCAATGATACTTGGTGGGCCTGTACTGATGGCCTAACACCGTGCATTTCTCTTCATTTAAATAATCCCTCTGCCCCCTTATTCTGTATATTGGTTCAACTTATCCCTAGGCTAACCTATTATTCCCCAGATCAATTCTCGGGAAGATGGGAAGAGAAGACTCTGGCAGAGATGGCTGCCCTCATGCACCCCCCATCGCGTGAAAAGGGAACCCGTGACTGCAGTCACTCTGGCTGTCCTCCTGGGGGTCGGGGCTGCAGGGGCTGATACAGGCATAGCTTCCCTGGTTTTATCTAATCAACATTATTCAGAGCTTAGAATTTCCATAGATGAAGATATAGCACAGCTTGAGTGAGGCATTGCGGCCTTGAATCCTCCTTCACCTCCCTTTCAGAGGTGGTCCTCCAAAACCGCCGAGGGCTCAACCTCCTCTTTACAGCAAGGAGGCCTCTGTGCTGCTCTTAAGGAAGAGTGCTGCTTCCATACTGATCACACAGGAGTAAAAAGGGATAGCATGGTCAAGGTCTGCGAAGGCTTAGAGCAGCACAAAAAAGAAAGAGATCAAGAGCTAGGCTGGTTCCAAAATTGGTTCTCTACATCTCCCTGGTTAACCACCCTCCTGCCGTCCCTTCTGGGACCCTTGGTTGGCCTCATTCTTGTCTTAACATTCGGCCCTTGGGCCTTGTCTCGACCAGCTCAATTTGTGCGTGGTCAGCTGGCCGAACTTCAGGCAAAACAAATTCAGGTTCATTACCATCGCCTCTACCTCCATGATTGTGGTCTCAATGAACCAGATAAAGACTCCATATCAGCATAGGCCCCTCTGCTCAGGGGAGGATGCACCTGTGCCTAGGAGCTGGAGCCCACTGCATAGGGGATTGAGGATGCAGCTGGGACTGCAGAAGGCAGGGAGACTAAAGTACTCTACCATCCTGAGTGCCTTGGATGACATGCTCTATTGCACGGCAGTTATGCAGACCCTATACTCTTTCCTCCCAGATTCAAACCCGCCCCCCTGTAAAAAACTTCATCATTCCAGCTTCCTTTGGGACATGTGGGTACGCCTACATGGACCAACAGTCAACAATGGAACTTATCAAGGATAGAGCCTCTGTCACCCCTCCCCCATCATGGCAAAAACATTTGGGCCTCCTTTCTTTGTTTTGCTATATGTATAGAAGGGGGAGATGTCAGGGACCAAACATGAACCATGGAAAAGTACTAGCTAGGCCAGAGAACAAGCCACAGGCCCTAAACCAGATGCCCCCAAAGATAAAGAACATCCCGCAGTCAGGTAGCATAGCAACAGAACAGTGGGCCCTGACCAGTGACCTTATCACCTAGCACAACATCCTGCAGCCTCATGAACTGCACGTCCCCCTTCACCTGCACATCTCCTCTCAGCTGCACATCCTGCACATCCTGCACCCCTTCCCTCCTTCCTGCCCCCTCCCCCTCCTATGTGATATAAGCCTTGCTGAGGAAAATAAAATTTGCAGCTTGATCAGAACCCTGTCTTGCTGTCTTCCTTTGTGTCTCCCATCCCTTTCATTCTCTCCCACAGGTGGGTCACCCCCATTGAGACCCCGCTGGCTGGGGCAAACACTGGAAGATCAGAGAGACAGAACAAGCCACAACTAACCTCACCTGGCCAACTTCTTAGCTGATCTTGTTTCCTCAGACTGGAAGCCTCTGTGTCCTCATATCCAAATGGCTCTCAGCTGAACTGCTGCTCAAAACCTAAAAGCTTAACCAGCCAAATGCTTAACCAGCCAAATGCTTCTAGTTTCTGGTCCTCACGCCTTATATACCTTTCTGCTTTCTACCATCACTCCCTGGGACTAAAGGCTCGCTTTCTGGGATTAAAGGCGTGAGTCACCATGCTTAGCTGTATCCTTGAACACATGGATTTCTGCCTCTGGAATGCTAGGATTAAAGGTGTGTGCTACCACTGCCTAACTTCTATGTTTAATATTGTGGCTGTTCTGTCTCTGACCCCAGATAAGTTTATTAGGGTGCACAATATTTTGGGGAACACAATGCCACCACACAGAAAGCATAGACAGGTAGACCTCTGTGACTTCAAAGTCAGCCTAGTCTACAGAGTGAAATTTAGGATAGTTTTGGCTGTAGAGTGAGATCCTGTCTCAAAAGACAAAATGAAAACAATAAAAAGAAGTTACTCAAAAAGGTGGGGCATAGTGATGTACACTTGTAATCCCAACACAATGGATGCAGAGGCATTTGGATGTCTGTAGGCCAGCACAGGCTACATGATGAGTTTCAGGACTACATACAGAGACCCTGTCTCAAACATCATCAACAATAAGAATGTTACCAGAAACTGCATAACACATGAACCTACACATGAGAATAGTTTGTGAATGT